TAAAAAAAAAAAAACATGTTTTTTTCTGTCACAGGTGTGGCATGGATATAGTAGGTACATAAATACACGCACCTATTCAAATGCAACGCTGTGTCAAAATTTCTAAGCAATCGGTAAAGAGGTTTCGAAGATTTCCGTCTCATGAAAAAGACATGAAAAACACAGTTTTTCACAAAAGCATGTTTTCTTCCCGTCAAAGACGTGACATCTATATAAACCCGCTCGGAGGCAAATGGAACGTTGTGTGAAAATTTCAAAGCAATCAGTGAAGAACTTTCGGAGATTAGCGATTTTGAACAAACATTTCCATTTTTATTTATAAAAAATTTTAATATATTATTATTATAATATTTTATTATTATTGTATATTCATTATTATAATAATATATTTATAATATATTTAGATATTATATTTTTTATTAATATGTATATTAATTTTATTATAATTATTTTTAATAATTATTATATTAAAATATTTATATTAAAATAATATTGGGCGAGCTTCAGAGGGTGCGCTTGATTTATGGGCAGGGAGTGCTTTATAGGGAGATTGTGTTTTATAGGTTTAATGAGGTTAGCTTAATGGTCTTATAAATCCTAAATAGGGTAAAGGTAGGTTTTTGGAGATTGTGACGGAAGTTTGGCAAGGCGAAGGAAGAGGTTTAGTTAGGAAAGGAGAGGTTTATGGAAATGTATAAGACTTTTAGAGCAATAAAATAAAATATGAGTATTAGCGCTACTTTATAGGAGACATGAGAAACGAGACATTGTTCAGGGAGCGGAAGAGGAAATTTTGAATTAGATTAAAGGAAAAGTATACTTCTAGGGGAAAGTCCTGGGGAGTTGACAAGTCGTGTTTAATGGAAGTCTTTTGAGAGGAAACAAGGGGGGAAAGGTAGATAATGAGATAGGTAGTAGGAAAGGAAGTAGGAAGGGGAGGATGGAATATAGTTATGGATACAGGGATATACAAGTAAACAAAGGGAAAAAGATACAGGGATATACAAAGTATACAAAGGGAAAAAGTAAAGAGGAGGAAAGGGTTGCGTGACCTGGGCATATTACCTAGTCCCTCAGTGTGTGTGGCGGGTGTGGTGCACCTGTTGGCTATTGACCCGACCTGTTCACACTAGCTTCACCATTGCCTCCTACACCTGCCCCAGCACTACATGTACCACTACCACCAACCTGCCCTCCAATGTAATTCATACACTACCTGAATTATTTTCTATTCAACCTCTCTCACTTCTTCCAACCTATCCTTCAGTATGGATTAAAACTTTACCTTCAAAATACCTCTAAAAACTGCCTGCAACGCTAGCTTTAGTACAAATAAGAGCACAACCACCAACACAGCCTCCAACACTACGTCCAACACTTTCTACGAAGAATATCTTTTCTACAACCTTCAAAGCAAACTGCTAAATTATGACATTGTGTCTTTAACCATTTCCATCACACTCTTCCATACACCCTAATGCAGATGTACCTCATGTATTAATAAAAAAATAAATGCTGTTTGTAATGTTGCTGGTGATGATGCTGATGCTGCTTGTGTGGGTCCTGGTAGTGCTGATGCTGATAGTATTGTGGTGGTGGTGCTCATGCTGCTACTGTTGGTGGTGGTGGTGGTGCTGATAATGCTAGTTTTGGTGCTGATGTTGTTAGCTTTCGGGCTAATGTGGTGCGATACTGTTAGTATTGGTTGTGTGGGTGTGTGTGGGTGTGTGTGTGTGTGTGTGTGTGTGTGTGTGTGTGTGTGTGTGTGTGTGTACTCACCTAGTTGTCACCTAGTTGTGTTTGCGGGGGTTGAGCTCTGGCTCTTTGGTCCCGCCTCTCAACCGTCAATCAACAGGTGTACAGATTCCTGAGCCTATCGGGCTCTGTCATATCTACACTTGAAACTGTGTATGGAGTCAGCCTCCACCACATCACCCCCTAATGCATTCCATTTGTCAACCACTCTGACACTAAAAAAGTTCTTTCTAATATCTCTGTGGCTCATTTGGGCACTCAGTTTCCACCTGTGTCCCCTTGTGCGTGTTCCCCTTGTGTTAAATAGACTGTCTTTATCTACCCTATCAATCCCCTTCAGAATCTTGAATGTGGTGATCATGTCCCCCCTAACTCTTCTGTCTTCCAGCGAAGTGAGGTTTAATTCCCGTAGTCTCTCCTCGTAGCTCATACCTCTCAGCTCGGGTACTAGTCTGGTGGCAAACCTTTGAACCTTTTCCAGTTTAGTCTTATCCTTGACTAGATATGGACTCCATGCTGGGGCTGCATACTCCAGGATTGGCCTGACATATGTGGTATACAAAGTTCTGAATGATTCTTTACACAAGTTTCTGAATGCCGTTCGTATGTTGGCCAGCCTGGCATATGCCGCTGATGTTATCCGCTTGATATGTGCTGCAGGAGACAGGTCTGGCGTGATATCAACCCCCAAGTCTTTTTCCTTCTCTGACTCCTGAAGAATTTCCTCTCCCAGATGATACCTTGTATCTGGCCTCCTGCTCCCTACACCTATCTTCATTACATTACATTTGGTTGGGTTAAACTCTAACAACCATATGTTCGACCATTCCTTCAGCTTGTCTAGGTCTTCTTGAAGCCTCAAACAGTCCTCTTCTTTTTTAATCCTTCTCATAATTTTAGCATCGTCCGCAAACATTGAGAGAAATGAATCGATACCCTCCGGGAGATCATTTACATATATCAGAAACAAGATAGGACCGAGTACAGAGCCCTGTGGGACTCCACTGGTGACTTCACGCCAATCGGAGGTCTCACCCCTCACCGTAACTCTCTGCTTCCTATGTGTGTGTGTGTGTGTGTGTGTGTGTGTGTGTGTGTGTGTGTGTGTAATTACCTAAGTGTAATTACTTAAGTGTAGTTACAGGATGAGAGCTATGCTCGTGATGTCCAGTCTTTCCAACACTCTTTGTCGTATAACGCTTTGAAACTACGGACGGTTTTGGCATCCACCACCTTCTCACCTAACTTGTTCCAACCGTCCACCACTATGTTTGCGAAAGTAAATTTTCTTATATTTCTTCGACAGCTTTGTTTAGTTAGTTTAAAACTATGAGGTCTTGTTCTTGACGTTCCAGGTCTCAGGATTTCTTCCCAATCAATTTTATCAATTCCCGTTACTGCTTTGAACTTTAGTAATCATATTGCCTCTTTTTCTTCTATCTTCTTGTTTTGATTAATTTAATGCCTCTAACCTCTCCTCGTAGCTCTTATCCTTCTGTTCTGGGAGCCATTTATTAGCAAGTCTTTGCACCTTTTCTATTTCTTGATGTCCTTCTTCAGATATGTATACCATGCAACCGTTGCATATTCCAGCCTTAGTCTATCAAAATTCTTGAACGTTTGTGGGTGTGTGTGTACTCACCTATTTGTACTTACCTATTTGTGCTTGCGGGGGCTGAGCTCTAGCTCTTTGGTCCCGCCTCTCAACTGTGTGTGTGTGTGTGTGTGTGTGTGTGTGTGTGTGTGTGTGTGTGTGTGTGTGTGTGTGTGTGTGTGTGTGTGTGTGTGTGTGTGTGTGTTTGTGTGTGTGTGTGTGTGTGAGTATGTGTGTGTATGAGAGTATATGTGCGTGTGTGTGTGTGTGTGTGTGTGTGTGTGCGTGTGTGTGTGTGTGTGTGTATTTACCTAATTGTACGGAGGTTGAGCTCTGGCTCTTTGGTCCCGCCTCTCAACTGTCAATCAACAAATATACAGGTTCCTGAGCCTACTGGGCTCTATCATATCTACACTTCAAGCTGTGTATGGAGTCAGCCTCCACCACATCACTTCCTAAAGCATTCCATTTGTCAACCACTTTGACACTGAAAAAATTCTTTCTAACGTCTCTATGGCTCATTTGGGCGCTCAATTACCACCTGTGTCCCCTAGTGCGTGTGCCCTTTGTGGTAAATAACCTGTCTTTACCAATTCCCGTATCAATCCCTCTGAGAATCTTGTATGTGGTGACCATGTCCCCTCTAACTCTTCTGTCTCCCAGTGACGTGAGGTTTAATTCCCGTACTCTTTCCTCGTAGCTCATACCCCTCAGTTAGGGTACTAGTCTGGTGGCAAACCTTTGAACCTTTTCCAGTTTAGTCTTATACGTGACTAGATATGGACTCCATTCTGGAGTCCATATCCATAACTTTGCAGACATGCAAGGAGTGTGTGTGTGTGTGTGTGTGTGTGTGTGTGTGTGTGTGTGTGTGTGTGTGTGTGTGTGTGTGTGTGTGTGTGTGTGTGTGTGTGTGTGTGTGTGTACTCACCTACTTGTACTCACCTATTTTTGTCTGCAGGATCGAGCAGTGACTCTTGGATCCCCCCTTTCGAGCCATCGGTTGTTTACAGCATTGACTCCGGTTCTATTTCCCTATCATACCTAGTTTTAAAATTATGAATAGAATTTGCTTCCACATCCTGCTCCATAAGTGCATTCCATTTTTCCACTACTCTCATCCTAAAAGAAAACTGCCTACCATCTACGTGACTCATCTGAGTTTCCAGTTTCCACCCATGTCCCCTCGTTCTGTTATTATTACGTGTGAACATTTCATCTATTTCCACTATGTGTGTGTGTGTGTGTGTGTGTGTGTGTGTGTGTGTGTGTGTGTGTGTGTGTGTGTGTGTGTGTGTGTGTGTGTGTGTGTGTGTGTGTGTGTGTGTGTGTGTGTGTGTGTGTGTGTGTGTGTGTGTGTGTGTGTGTGTGTGTGTGTGTGTGTGTGTGTGTGTGTGTGTGTGTGTGTGTGTGTGTGTGTGTGTGTGTTTCTGTGTGTGCGTGTGTGTGTGTTTCATTTCCATTCTCGTCCCTTCACTGTTGCCTCTTCCCTCTACATGTTCTTTAACACTTTAACACGTCAACTCACCATTCCAACACTTTTGGCAAATTTTATGTGCCTGTTGTCTAAGACGGGATAAGATCTAGAAGACAATATAAAAACTTCTCTCTTTGAAATCTCCTTTAAGACCCACCAGCCCTGGCAACTTACCTTTGACACAGTGGGAGTGGTCGTTGTCCTTGATTGGAAAGTCCGCAAGACAGGCGCATTGTTGAATTTTGGTGTCACAGTAGCTGTTGATAAGGTCCGTGCATTCTGTATTATCCTTGCACTGGATTATCACCTCCAGCGGCGTGTCGGTTCCTGCCGAGTACACAAACACGATGGTTAAAGGCCAGTGAAAGAGTCTGGAACATGAGTGAAAAGTCTTCACTGTTAACAATGATTAGTATGGTGTTAAATTTTGTCGAATGATCTTCACTGGTCGTGTCTGTACCGGCGAGTTCAGCAGCAGTATCGTCACTATGAACTACAGTCGCTCGTTATACCTATGCTTGATACTGTTTTATACCCATGCCTGATACCTAGCTTTATAGCTAGCTTGATATTGCCCTAGTAAAAATTAAGGGTAGAAAATATTTTTTTTTTATTTTGATAACAAACATAAAAGGTTTTTGTTGACTTTTAAGAAGTTTGATGCGCAAAGGTAGTAAGAGGGCAAGTGTTAGGACATGTTAATGTTGAAGCTTTAGATGGTAATCCTTCTTTAGGTTTAAAACTTTATTGTGTTATTAGAGTAGCTAAAGCATGTGCGTGTAAGCCATCTTATGGACCAGTTTAAAGAACGAGAACTATGATCAGAAGGTGGACATGGTCCAGTCAGGTAAGAAACACTGAAGTGTAGGTACACTGCTAGCCACTCTGAAGTGCTTCTGAAACCAGTATTTATTTTTTTATGATCACCTCAGGCGGGTCTTGGGTGTACAAAGTTAGTTATGAATCTCCTAAAACTTTCTACGAGACAGTTAAGGCGTTGTCGAAGGTAGTTAGGTTCGCGCTGGAGAAAATGAGGTTCCTCCTCCAGGCAGTCAAGGTGTGCTTCTCGCAACCCGTTCTCGCACTTGCTTACTGTCAATATTGGCTTATTTAATAAGTGCATATGTAACATACAAATTGATTGTGAATATTTTAGTTTACCTTGAAAAGCTTCATAGAAAACACCGACCTCACCTAACCTTCTTAGTATGTTAAGATAAGCATCTTATTGCTTCTTAATTACAATTGTTACTTAACCTATACCGTTGATAGGTTAAGTAATAATTGTAAATAAGAAGCAATAAGATGCTTATCTTAACATACTAAGAAGGTTAGGTGAGGTCGGTGTTTTCTATGAAGCTTTTCAAGGTAAACTAAAATATTCACAATCAATTAGTATGTTACATATGCACTTATTAAATTAGGCAATATTGACTAAAGCAAGTGCGAAAACGGGTTGGCTTCTCGCTACTTAAGACGAACTCCTTAGCCCCTGTGGTAGCTTTAAATTGGTTTAGGTCCATTTCAAGGCAACCACAATATCTTTTGAGACAATTATGAAACTATTAAACACGATTAACGAGCAACATTCAACAGTAAGTGATAATTATGAAAAGTCAGGAAGCACTCTGAACTCGCGGTGAGCTTTGTTCGAAATATTTAAAGAACACATTGAAATAGAATGTTGGCCGAGAGTTGCTCCAAGTAAGACAATGAAATCTAAATGTATGAAATTATTTTACAAAAATTTAAAGGAGGCACATATATAAATTGTTGACCGAGCTTTGTTAGAGATTCTTTTATCAATGTGATTTAGATTACCCGATCTAAGGTTATAATATAATAAGGTTATACCCGAGATAATAAAGGTTCCAGCATCATTATTGTTGATGTAGGATATAATACAGTTTATACTTCTAATTATTCCTTGTCTTCTCTAAAGCTAACATACATTTGTATATACAATAAATATGCACCTAAACCTTAGAGATACATATTAATATTAATGGTAGCATAAATGCACTCATAATTTTATTGTCATTATATCTTATTTTAATTTAATTAAAACACGTTTTGTTCTTATCTTTGATTGAGCTTAACACCGTTCACCCTAAGGATGGTTATCAAGACCATTATAATACCTTACTGACCAACCAGAATGCACGTTTTAATGCACAGAGAACTCACATTAACGTGATGTATTAATGACAAAAGCAATAGGAGTCGTGACGAGGATTCGCATCTTTGTTCAGGGTAATTCTAAGCAAACGCCTTTTCTCATGCATGTTTTAGTCTTGAACTATTTGCAGAACTAAAGTACCCATCTTCTTAGTGTATATATACCGAAAGAGGGGTACACCTCTCGGTGTATATATACAGTGTACATCCCTTAACTTGTTGATAAGTTAGCCAAACAATCTGCCTTTAAAGGAGCCGTTGAGTGTAACCTTGGAGTATCTATGAGCAATCTGAGAGCAGCAGTACACCGAGAACTTCAACAAGATCTTGTAGATCTGAGGCAAAGTGAAATTGACACCAGTAATTCCATCTATTATCATACTATCATGCAAGAGGAGCAACACATCTATGGTTCATCCAATAAAATCAGCAGACTTCTAGATGTTATTACTGCTCAACTTAGACTCGGTTACAAGTATCTCTGGGAATTCTCATTATCTGCCGATGTAGACCTGACCAAATGTAAACTGTGTCAACAAAATTATTCGCACACCCTCCGTCACTATGTAATGGAGTGCAAAAAGATACGTGAATTTAGAGACAATTCAGTAACCAATGTTCCAACGATGTGTAAATATTTCATTCAAAATGATCTGCTACCAGAAATTTTAGCCAAATATCTTCAATTTGCTATCTGTAGGTAGTATCTGATTGATTGTAACCTAATCACCGCAGCCCACTGAATGGGGGCGGTGTGCAGGACAAACATATCAATTGTAACACTAGCTCTCCACATGTCAGTTGCTTAATTTAGAAACTACTTGTGGTCGATCTCGAACCCATTCTTGATGTGACGACTTATACTGAATTTTGTAACTAGCTCATCAAGATTGTAACTTGCTTAGCTAAATAAATTGTGGGGTTCAGTCCCTGAGCCCATTATGTGCCTCTGTAACCCTTTCTACTACCGCCCACAAGATGGGTATGGGGTGCATAATAAGTGAACTAAACTAAACCAAAACTCTTCGGCATCTTTGTTTAATTAGTTTAAATCTATGACTTCTTGTTCTTGAAGTTCCAGGTCTCAGAAGGGCTGGACCTGGAGACCGTCAGGACTCCGGCGGTCGTCCCCACAACCTGGTCACTACTCGTTCCTACGATATATAAAACTGTTTTGTGCATAAAGACTCCAGATATTACCAGAGGAAGAACGCCATTTAGTAATTTACGTTCTTCCTCTGGTAATATCTGAGAGAGACAGAGAGAGAGAGACAGAGAGAGAGAGAGAGAGAGAGAGAGAGAGAGAGAGAGAGAGAGAGAGAGAGAGAGAGAGAGAGAGAGAGAGAGAGAGAGAGAGAGAGAGAGAGAGAGAGAGAGAGAGAGAGAGAGAGAGAGAGAGAGAGAGAGAGAGAGAGAGAGAGAGAGAGAGAGAGAGAGAGAGAGAGAGAGAGAGAGAGAGAGAGAGAGAGAGAGAGAGAGAGAGAGAGAGAGAGAGAGAGAGAGAGAGAGAGAGAGAGAGATGAAACATAAATAAGAATATGTGTAAATTTGACCTTCCTATTTCACATATCCTGGAAAAGATGTCTCTCTTTAAGGAAGGTCATCAAGGCGTCAAATATATCTTGGTCATTATCTAGCAGGGGCTCCAAGTCGAATGGCATACGAAGACCAAGGTACTGCGAGAGAGAACAGCGCGAAGGGTCGTTGGTGGGTGATACGAAGATGCTTCCAAAGGACGTTACTGCAGTTCGGGCAGACGACGGGACACTGGCGTAAAATGTTGAGCTGGAGGTGTGTAAAGAAAGTACAGTTGAGGCGAAAGCATGCAAGGATAACCTCCTCACTTCTGGTAGTGCGGTAAGATCTCGTCCAGTCTGTGATAGTGCTATTAAGTTCACAAGGCAAGGCTAGGTCCACTGACTTTGCCATAGATGTTGTGATGTCTTCTCCAAATAAAATATTGGCCCCAGCTCCCAGGGCATCAAGGTGACTCCGTCGAGCTGCAAGGCCGACTTAGCTAATTTATCTGCCTGGCCAATACCCTAAATGTCGCAGTTACTAGGTAGACAGATCAAGGTGATAGTTTTATTCACCGAATCTAGCATATTAATTATGTTTCCATGTAATTCATACGAATCAGTGACTCCAAGTAATATCGTAAGAAGGCATAACATAGCGTCTGAAAACTAACAAAACTGCCTCGAGATGACGTTTGAGAGCATAAGCTATGGCTTTTTGGCTAACAACTCTACGGCAAAGACTTATGTATGCAATCGCAAACGAAACCTGAGAGAACATTAACTCAACCATACACAAGCACCAACATATTCCGTTGCCTTGGAACAGTTCATATACAAATCAGATGCTAGCAGCCAAGATTGCGGGGTCGCTGAAGTACTCTTCCAACGCGAATCTCTTCTGGACTGAGAATTAAGATGTTCAGACTTGAATACGAGAGGGCTTCCATGGTCCTAACCTTTTCATCCTCAGTTTATCCATCTCAGTGACTGAGATACCAGCTTGACGGAACCTACAACAGGACATTGTGGGTTCTGTGAGGACTGTGGCGACATTGACAGTGTAGAGAGTATTGCTGATGGCCATAGGTCTAGCGTCGAAGCAGGAGCAGTTTCGATGGAATTGTCGGTGCTCCATATTAACACTGCAGGCTGTGTGGTAGATAGTGGTTGTCTGGGTCGTAAGAAAACCATCCGAAGAGTCCGTTGCGACGAAAACGGAGGGAAGGCACATTAACCATCTTGTACCATCCTAGCATGAAAAGCTTCTCAACGTTCTGTTCAGTCCATTCTATCTGTAACCCCTTTAGGATCTCTCTCACTGCCACTCTGTCTCTGTCTTTCCATTCTGTCTTACTAGGGCCTTCTTGTTCATTAATGCCCACTGCTACTACTGATCTTTTCCTATCCAGCAGCTGTTTAGTGCACTTCGCTGCCTCCTGTAAGGTAGCTACTTCCTTCACTGTAGACATTGCTTCTACAAACTATTTCCTAGCATTTATGCAAATGATGCATGTACAGTGCCAGTCCCAGCTATTGATACATTTCCATCGTCTCTTTGGATGATTATCTGATGCTGAGCCAGAGAAGTGCTCCCTCTGAGGTTTCTTATCTCCTTCTTTGCTGCTATCA